TAAAACTACTCCTGAATAAGAGGAAGAATATCAATGTACATGATAAATCTTATTCGTCAGAATTTTTTTTTTGGAAATTTTGCTAAATTGATTCATATTTAATTATTGTTTTGTAAAATAACATTTGCCTTTTTGTATCAATTTTTTTTATATTACCTTTGATTAATATTGGAAAATACAAAAAAATAGTTTTTATAATTTTATAAAATCAGAAAAATAGAAAATAGTAATGTACAAAACATATAGATTCATGTTTATATTTTTTTCAAAAAAAACTATGACAAAAAATTATTTTTTTTCTACCATAGTCGAATCTACTAGTAGATTAGGTGTTCTGCAAATTTGTTCTACCATGTTTTAGTTTGCTTCATTTTTATCTGTTTTTTTTTAATTTTTATCTGTTTTTAATTTTTTGTTCATATCCCAATTAATTTTTAATTTTTAATTTTATGTATGTTAAAAAAGAGATTTTTAAAAATTATTTTTATTCAATTTGAAGGTTAAAATTGAGAGATGAAAATAGCAAAGGTTATTGGGACAAGAAATTATAGGTAAAAAGATAATTTATAAAACAGTAAATAGAAATCTAATTTTTTTAGTTTGTGCTATATTTTATAGAGTTTCTCTTGTTGGATCATTCATATCGTGATTAATTTTTTACTTGATAAAATCACGTAATGGAAACCATTTGACTTATTTCGTATATTATTAAACAAAAACATTGATTTTGTCGTTTTTGTTTTTGGAAAAGAATCGAGTGAATCTTGATAAGAAAAGAAAGGCTTGTACACGAACGTATAAAAATATATATACGTCGGTGACTTAGTGGCTGTATCCGTAACTGACTAATCTCTTAAGTAAGTGTTTAGTTTACCCTTAGGTAATACTTTTTTGGTTAGACAAAACCCTAAGTATCTGCTAATATATATTTTCCATGAAATGCGGTCGAGGAATGTGGTTTGTTCCTCTAGTTATTATAGTCAAAGTAGAGTAATGATTAAGAATCACATGATGGATATATGATTAAAATTTGAAAGTTTTGAAACTTGATATCACCAACATCACAATGACATCATATTTGAGTTTAAAGTATTTTGTGTTGTACTCCTGAATTTAAAGTAACAAGTAAGCCAAAAATGTAAATGAAATGACTTTGGGTTGAGAGGGTAATGATAATCGCGGAAGATTTTAAACATGACAAAGTGTCAACTTCGATTTAAATCCATCAAGTTTTAAACTTTCTTTATCTATTTTCTCGGAAACATTCATTAAGAAACCGAAACAAATATCGAATTCCTAGGGGTCCAGGAATAAATTTGAGTGGGATTAATATTCTTTTCTTCATCTCATTTTTATTATTATGCCTTCCACATATAGGTAATTGCTTAAATATATACTGGAAAATAAACTATTGTTTAGGTAAATGATAATTTTAGTTATCATCAACTGCAGAAAAATTGATTGATAAAATAGTAATTAAATAACTAATTGTTGTGGATGGTTTTAGAAACACAGAAGACTTTTAATAAAATGTGCAATGTTAAGAAAACCCCGTCATATCTATAAATAACGTGTTAAAAACTATATTCTTCATTTCCAGAATTGTTTAGCCACAGACTTTTCAAATAACCTATTTTAGCATAATTTTGCTAGAAGAGTCTTGTCATCATGAGTTGGTTTTCAATTTAGAATTTGGCAATTTTCATATTTGTAACCTATAATTTGGTTAGCTTGTCCCTTGAAATATAGAAGTGGTTCATATATGTGTATTTTCTTAAACTCAAGTTTGGTGAGGGGAGTTAATGAGTTGGGTGGTATGTAGATGGAGAGGAGACATAGAGCTTCAAGAGTGTTGAGGATTTATTATTAATGGTGAATTTCACAGTTGACAAAATAATGTAATGCAAATAAAAAACAATAGGAAAAAAGGACATATTGGCTAGGGAGGATTTCCTTGATATATAATGTAATGATTATACTGTAAGATCATTTACACCAACAATTAATTCATGTGACATAAGAAACTATTTAGTTTTTCTTTTGATAAATTTGGTCCATATTTTATAAAAAGATGATGGAATAGTTCAATATTATCTAATTAACAAATAGATTATAATTTAGGAAAACTACTTTATATTTTGATAGTAACGAATAGGTCTCTACTAATTCTTGCATTGTGTATTTTTACATTCAATAATTAATCCACGTCTATTAAATAATAAGTGATTGATTATAGATATTTTCCAATTATAAACAACAAACAACCTATCATTTATCAACTTTAAATAAAAAACAAGCAATTGTGAGAAAAACTTAATTAAAAAAAAAAATGGTACATAATTTTCCGTCATTTATGTACTCTGCATATATGGACACACTTGCATCTACTCATCTCTCTCTCTCTAACATTCATTAATTTATTATCTCCAACCTTCCAAT